CCCGCCCGCCCCCACCCACGGACGCACCCAGGGACCGCCCCCGACCCAAGGAGCCAGGCGCGGGGGCCCGGCACCGCCACCAGGGAGAGAACCAGCAGCGCACCGGACGGGCCCACACCAGGCGCCGGCCACCAGCAGACGCCGGACCGGACAGTAATGAGAGCCCAACCAGGCCCGGGCGGACGAGGGAGGCAAGGAGGCGGTGATACTGCAAGGCATATGTCCCCGGCGCATCGGGAACCAGGGAACCGCGAAGGGCCACCCGCCTGTTTTCCTGTTTCCTTTGGCTTTTTAAATTGAACAAGAAATATTACAGTAATAACCACGAGTAACTGTCCATTACACCCACACACACACGCACGCTGAGTGTACTGTACACTTGATTTATCTTTGTTTAGGAAACTATGAAAAATGGGCTTGTAACCACGATTAACAGAAGCATGACTAGTCTTAAAGGCTTTAATACAGTGGTTAAGGCAAGATACCCATCCACCAGTAAGTATATATATATATTTCTAATTCTCAAAGGCAGATTGAGATTATATACAGTGTGTGTGTTTATATATCTTTACAGTAGATAGCTGAGGGAGTTAAATGGCTCACTGTGACTGACCCAAAAATGGTGCTTTGCATTTTGACACCCTTTTCATATTACTGTGCGCATAGTAAATAATATTATCACGCACACACAGAAACTGTAGTGTGCGAGAGATGCCCTTTCACTTGACTTTGTCACAACTCTCTGACGTTACACTACTTCCTCCAGTCTCAGAGCCCAGGCTTTTCCAGGAGATACTGGCATAGACGGCATAAGAATCATCAGTCCAGCTGCTGGTGTCACTGATGCCCACTTCAGTGGCACGTTGGGATAGTCCATAAGTGTAACCTGTGGATGCAAAAGAGCAGTGTGCAGTTTATGATTTTGACACATTAAGGTAACTGGGATTAAACTTTATAGGCATAAAAGTGTAAGAATTACCGTTGTGGCTCCAGACGTCCTTGGTGCTGTGAGCTGAAGCAGCTGTTTGGACGGCCAGCCGAGGATTATGGCGTAAACTGTATTGTTTTTGGCGGTGTACCTATAACAGGAGCAAGAAGTGGCTTATTTTGCATCACAAAATCAAGTATGATAGGGAGAGGGGCGTCTGGGCTATTTGGCTTAGCCGGCACAAAATCTGGCATAAGTAGCACAAAATAACAACCTCACCAGACAGTGACAGTGCTGTTCTCCGTCTGGACCCTCCAGGGTCTGGAGGCATAGATGGCCTCACCATTAATCTCCAACCAGGCACCAAGTCCCCTCAGCCTCTCCTCAAACACCGGGGCAATCATGCCATCTGCCATAGGTCCAATGTTCAGCAGGTAGTTACCACCCATTGCCACCACATATACCAAGTCCTGAGGAAAGAGAGTGTTACATTAACCCAGATATTTAATCACAAAATAACTGGACATGTATCAGTTGTGGGTGATAACCTGCTGTGACCTGTCACCTTTATGATGGACGGCAGGTCCATGACTTCACTTAGCTTCATGTCTCTTCGGTAGCCCCAGGAACGGGTGTCGATGGACTGGCATTTCTCCCATTTGTGGTCTGGAAGTTTACCAGGCGTGTACCTGTCAGCACAGTTATAGTAGCCTCCATGTTTGCAGTAGCAGCCTTTACCCCACCTGTCATTGGTAACCACGACATCCTGAAGAGACACAAGTCGTTATCCATAGAAACAAAAGACTGCTGTGATTTATCAAATAGTTTGAAACTTGTTGCTGTAAACGCTCTTTCACCTTCACTGGACTGTCGTTGTAGAGCCAGGCCAGGAACTGGGTGGAGTTCCAGTAGGTATCTGGTGCTTCCCAGTCCCCATCAGACCAGATCAGATCCGGTTTGTATGCCGTCACGAGGTTCACTAGTTCTGGAAGAGTCTTACGGGAAACAAAATACTGAGTCTTGAACCCCAAAGCTTGGTCCAACAAGAAAAGGGGATGATACCATTCATACAGAGAGTGGTACAGACCCAAACGCAGTGACCTGTAGGCAGAGAAGTATTAGTGAATACTCCCAACCCCCACTAGGGGACGCCAAAGCTTTAAGGGGGTCATGAGGCTTTCTTGATTTGAAGGGGTGTAAGAAAACCTGTTTAGAAATATACAGTAGGCCTATATCTCAGCATTTAATTTATTTCTGTTAAGAAAAATAAACGAAAAAGTCATTTTTAAAGTTTAGATTATTATTCATGAGGGCACAGTCAAGACCTGAGCACAAGCTTTATTCTCTGGGCCTTTACTCTCTGCTAGACAGCCTAGCCCTGCAGTTAAAGCAACCAGTAACAGAACAATGGCCAAGTGTCAGGAAGAAGCCTATAAAATATGTATGATTGTTAAAAATAAAAATAAAAAAGAAGATAGAGAGTCTACTTAAAATAATCCAAAATAGCTCATTTTGACCTCCTGAGGTTATTGCGTTCACTGTGAGGGAATTTTTTTGTGTTACAGCCTTTAGCCTCAGTCAGTAAATGGATGATAGTTATGCTTAAGGCAACAGTCAGGTCAGCAGAGGGCCTAAAAGAGGCCTCGAGGTCAGGCTACTTGACCTTTGTTATGAATGCACTCCATCTATCATCTCCAAGTTGTAGTAGAGGGAGTACAGCTGCCCAGATAAGGCTATAGCTGGCTCTGTTGCCATGGCTCCCAAGGTTAAGGGGAAGGGAGATTTCCTTATGCTGCACGCTCAACAGACAAGAGTCTAATATTAGAAGTTTGTTTTTAGTTCCATCCTACTTGGATGCAGTCCTGTAGATATGACTCAAACATTATTCACATTATATTTTATTGTTACCTCATTAATTTCCTCTTCTTTATTTGTGCTACAGTCTACTCACTAGGGGATTTTCTTTTAAAGATATAATTGAATGAATGCAGATGCAGTGTATGTCTAATTTTCTTACCTCTTCCTGACAGCTGCAGCCAGTTCTCCCACCAGGTCCCGGTGAGGACCTACATCCATTGAGTTCCAGTTCCAGGAGCCTGCTGAGGGCCAGTTTGTGAATCCTTCGTGGTGTTTGGATGTGAACACCACATACCTGGAGGAGCATGTACACATTAATGTCCTTATGCATTTCTGAGACAAGGAAGTGAGCAGGCATTCTGTTAAAAGTATTCTGATCTGACTTTTGAGATGATTGTCCTATGCGCTGAACACCACCTGCAAGCAAGCACACATGACACCTGTAGGTGCGGCTGTTGCTGAGCAAACACTGGCAACAAAAGAGACCTGCTGCATTTTCATGGCAGTGTAGCACCAGGAAGAGAGCTGCTCACCATACCTGGCTCCAGAGGCTTTGAATATCTCTGCCCAGTTATCCGGATCGAAGAATTCCGCGCGAAACTCGTGCGCAAAATCCGCGTACCTAAAGCCCGGCGGGTAGTTTCTCTGCATGAACTCCACTTCTTCTGTGCGCCTTTCAGACCGCCACCAGTACCAGAACCACTCACTATACTGGCCGAAGCCAGGGACTGAGAAGACCCCCCAGTGGACGAAGATCCCGATCTTGGCCTGGTCGAACCACTGGGGCAGAGGTCTGGCATCCAGACTGGTCCAGTTTGCTGCGTAGCGCGCTGTGCATCCACATCCCCACATGAGGAGGGGAAACACAGATATCGAAGATATAACACATGTAGGTCGCATATGAAGTGATGTGATCCCTCGTGGGCAATTTTCTACTGTAGTCCTTTGCCGTTTAAAAGGCTCTTATTAGGCCTGCTCGCACACTCAGCCGTGCCAGGTGACCTGTCTTGAACATTTGCATTAGGCACACCTGAGGCTGCTGTGGGACGGACAAATAGTGTGACCGCCCTTCAGTTCATACATGGGATACCTAAACAACATCGATCATACTTTGACTTGGACTATACCAACTTTGTGTAGGGGAGAGTGGGGTTGTTTGGGACAGTTTTGTGTGGACATGAAATGATCTCTCATTACTTAGAGGCTACTATTGTAGAGTAAAATAATATGATCCCTGAATAGATACAGTTATCTAATTTAAGTTTTTTAGATATACAAGGAGTGCATTCTCCCAAAATTCTGCCTCGGCAGGACGGTTGGGCCTGTGGATAGGATGGGTTTGGACACCTTATTCTGAGGGGGAAAACATTTAAATCAAAGCTAAAAATAGCAGTTCAAATTTGGACACCTTGTATTTCCAATGTCACTTGTTCACACATTTCTTTCGGAAAAAGAAAACATGTAAAATTTTTATATTTTCATAAACTACTGAGATATGGAATTTGGTTGTCTTGCAAGTCTTCACTCAGTGGCACCTATCAGCTCAGTGTGGTCGGCTATATGAAGCCTTTAGGTTGATGTAGGCTGTTGAGTTAAAAAAAAAAAAAAGTTTAAAAAGTTGCATACCATAAAACTTACCTTAATATCCTGAGCTATTATTTGCGTAAATCACTGAAATCAAGAGGCGTCTATTTGGGACAGCTTTTAATTTCTTTCACACAAACTGGTGCTCAGCAAAGATGGGAACACGATCAAATTGTTTATTTAATCCAGTATTGAAAACTAGTTGTTTCAAAATTAGGCTTCAGATAATATATCAAGTATGAATCATTAATTTGATCTAGCTCTGACAGACAATGTATCACAGTAAAAGAGAGTAACGCTTCTCAAGGATTACAGCATCCGGCATAGACACAACCCCACTTTATCCCACTAAAACAATCCTCACAACTTGGATTAATTTTCACGAAATACCCGTTTGATTCTTTTGATCTGAGGACCCATACAGACTAAAGGAATATGAATAACTTACGAGGTAATTGTGGAACGCACACATAATTTGTGGAAGCCAACAATCTGGTTTTATACATCTTTCTACTAAAAAAAAAAAGAACTGCTTAACAACCAGATCAGGCCTCTAAGTCAGACAGGCATTTATTTTTCAAAATGTGTAGCCACATTGGGCTTGTAAGGGGACTGGGCGTTTAATTGGGACTAGGCTTTTAATTAAAGTTTTACAGTAGTTGAACTCGACACACACTATGCTCAGGGGTTGAGATGTAGACCTGTATGAAGTTCATGCAGTAAACATTCACTCTTGGACTTTGCAGTGGGTTCTGTTCAATTAGAAGAAGCCTTTGTTTTATTGAGGGATCACAAACAAATGACTACTTTTTCTGTTTAATTAGAAAAAGCCTTTGTTTTATTTTTGGTCTACTTTTTGTTAATCTGTAACAAGGTACTGTGAACAAAACTGTCCCAGCCGCCTCTGGGTAACAGTATTGTCTCAGCTGTCCCAGTGAGAGCAGACACACTTCAGACTGCTGTACCTGCTACCAACAACATTTCAGACAGTTAACAGTAGCATCAACTGATAGGCCAGAAAATCAGCTTTCCAATGATGTGTTTTTTTTGTATGTGGCATAGCTAAAAACAGTATGGTAGAAGACGTACACAGTGTAATTTTTAAAACTGTAAATAAAATGTGAGGATTAATCAGGTCTCCACTTTTACGTTCAAAGTGAAAAGTGTGGCTGTGTGTGGTGAGAATGAGTGGCACAGGCAAAGCTGCTTTCTAACTTCCTAAAAAGGCACCGTCCCAACTGTCCCCTCTCCTCTATTCCAATAAACAGAGTAAAATCATTTTAAATTATGTCTTTATACATTGTAATGAAGTCAGTTGCTTCCTCAATGCAAAAAGTCTGATTTTAGTGACAACTCTCACAGATTTTCTGGGTTTAAACCACTAGAGGGCGCCAAACGGCATTTTCTGTATCAATACTGCAGGTTGATGTGAATCCATGACAAGCAGCAGGGAAATGTACAAATATCACAAGCTAAGAAAGTATCTACACGTAGAAAAGCACATTAATGCATAAAGTGTGATCAAAGGAAATATGTGCACAATTACACAATACATTTATTGTAACAATACCTACAATGGCTCCGGTATGATCGCAAAACTTCCTTTATCCTCAAACTGCCATCTTATTAAATAAAACAAGCTTTTTTCTATCTTATGTAAGCTTGAAAGCCACGTTCTCTTTTTGTGCAGCACATACAGAGACACGTGGAATTTAGCAACTGCACAAAGAAAGAAAGAAATATTAAAAACCACATTTATGATTACAAATAAAGAGATAAAACACTGAGTATTTGCTGCCAGGCAAATCACTGGAGGACAATATCTTCAACAGTTAAAAGGGCACATGTTGTGGTTACAAACAAGTCAATAAATAAGGCCATCTTACAGTAATAATTTAACATCACTAACAGTATGGCCACAGTTAACTTAACACTAGTTTAACAGTTTAAGGAATGGTCTTCTTCTCTAAGTGCAGCGGGCCACAGATTCACAGCGTGTGACCTACATCAGTGCAGACAGCCAGCTGCCTTTCAAGCATCTGTTTCTCTACCAAGTCCTCAACTCTGCCGACTTCCACTTCATCAACATCGTCCATAAAACTGGACCAATCTGTGGCCCCGTCTGCACGCTCCATGGGCTCTGGTTGGCTGGCGGGGTGAACGGAGGCGGAGTCGTCATGGGTGGTGGTCACGCAGTTGCAGCTGTCACAGATGCCGAAGCGTCTGAGTCCTGGCGAAACGCTGGATCCAGTGAAGGTTCGCCTGCAGCTCTTACATGACACTGGCCAGTAATGCCTATGGACCTGTCAGTGGTGAACACAGTGAGAGACAACATGATGTGAATCAGTTTGCACGGGCAAAATTAACTTTTAGATCTTATAGCTGAAGAATAATAATATAGGAGCAAAAATATTTACTGCCTTTTGTAACAAAAGCTACCTTCAACTTTCACCCTAAAGTTTCCCTCTGCTTTCACTCCTAACCTGTTTGGTTTCAGTTAAAACAAACTCAGGCCCATTTGCCTGGACAGCACTGTACATTTGGGCTGCTGTGAACGCTGGTGCAGACCAAACAACCGAACTGAGACCGCTTAAACACGAGGGTCTCGGCCCGCTTCCAAACATATGCTGGTGCAGTTTGTTTGTGGTGTGAAAGCAAAGTGACCAACCACAGGATTTCATGATCACAGATACGTGATTTTTGCAGGATTTCAAAACTAAACTACTAATAAATCCATCTGCTAATCATGAAATTGCTTCACGATTCTATCCTATAATTTAACTGTGTATAACCTATTCATGCATATCATTTGGTAACCATGGTAACACGTCTGCATGTAAGGGCTGTGAGGCTGCTGTCCTGCTGGCACAACATGATACAACACTAGGCTGATTATCTTGCAGTCACGCTGAGTTCTTACACTGAGGGCATGACTGCGAAGGTGCTCCTGTCTTGTGAACCTCTTGCCGCACATAGGACAGGGGAACGGCCTCTCTCCTGTATGGCAGCGGATGTGTCTCTTCATGATTCCCTTCTGCTTGGCAGTGTACGGGCAGAACGGGCACTTGTGGAGTTTCACTGGCACTACCAAACCATCACCTGCAGGGGGAGACAGAGGCCAACAGTTCAGATTTACATCAGTAGGAAAGCACTGCAAATTCTTTTTCTTTAAAATCTACTGAATGCAATATGGTATTATTTTCGAGATGTTTAATTTAAGGCTACAGGGAAACATATGTCACACTCTGCCAAATACCTGTGTCTTCTCCGAGCCAGTCAGACTGGATCTCCATGATAGATGATCCCACAAACCCTAATCCTTCATCCATTCGGCCTCCTCCCGTGCTGCTACCTAGTCCTTGGTTAAAGCGCTGCCCCACTCTTTCCCCCAGAGGACTGGGGCCTTCACCTCTGGCCAGCATCTCCATCAGGTGCCTTGCATTAAAGGATGGGCTGTATCCCAAGGGAGAGCGCTCATTGGAGGGAGAGGGAGGAAGTAGTCTGCTATGATGAGGGTTATGGAGAGATGGCCCAGGAAATGAGGCTAGGTCTTTGGTGTCAGGGGATTCCATGAGCTCCTCATCTGGGTCGTACTCTATCTTGGGGTTCACTAACTCAGGGGTCAAAGCAGATGATGAAGAGGATGAGAGGTTAGTCTGATCCATGTGTCCCTTTTGTCCTTCATTACCAGTTGCAAATTCCCCCCTGGAATGGTAGTCGTTTTCCATGTCCCTGCCGGTGCCTGGAGTTGTGGTGACAGGTATGGACAAGGGGGTTCTAGCCGAGGTAACAGACTCCGGGCCTAAACCCGACCCTCTGTCTGCCTCTGCAGCTTGCGAATGAGGCTCCGCAGCCCCTGTGCCACTGGAGATTGTTGCAGCCGGAGTGCCGCTGTCTGCAGGACCCATAGCTCCATCCTGTGCCTGGTTCTCCTTCTCTGTGTTCCTCTCCTTGTCTTTGTTGCATATTTCCAAAGATGAGCGGATGTATCCCTTACAGAAGTTTACCAGATCAGTCATCTGCAGGTAGCTGCCTGCTGACATCACCTCAATGACATTGCTTCTGTTCAGGGCCAAGCGGCCAGAGTAAAGGAAGTCCAGGATAATCGAGAAGGCATCGGCTGTCACAATGTCCAACGATGCTGTGCTGTAGCGCTGTCCACTATCCTGAAAATAGACAGTACATATCTTAGCAGGTACACTGGATGCCCTTCTTTGATAAGATCAGCAATGTATGGCCAGCAAGAACAATGAAGAATCAGCTGTCACATTAACAAATCAGACCAAACCTCCAAACCACTTTGCTTCCAAAATCCACCATGAGGAAGCCATTTTTCTTACACTCTTCATCAGTGCTTTCTTAGAAAGTGAGCTGCATTTTTGGAACATTTTAAGGCGTTAAATTAATGACTGATAACAAATAGCAAACTTTTTCTTTTTACTATGAGTATGTAACGCAGCTACGCTTACAAATTACATTCTGTTGCATCGTCGTCACATTGTGCCTTGCAATTTGACAATCTTGCTCATATATCTGTTGTAGTCTGTGGTGCAAAATTTTGTGTTAAAAAGAAAAAGTAAGTGATTTTGAACACAGCAGATCTTAATGGTATCACTCAATCATGAGTTTAAACAAAACACCATTCACTGAGCTCGCCAGAGACAGGCGTCATGCTGGAGAGAGCTCTGCTGCTGTTACTTTGAAATATATGTAGTTTGAACTTTTAGGTAAGTATTCAAATAAACACAAGAAGTTTGTGCTCTAAAAAAAAAAAAAAGGATCAGCACTCAGTGAATAACCTCCTAAGCCCTATGATAAGCTATTATGGCAAGGCTTAACTATACAGACCAGTGAGCAGTGATAACTAACATGTCTTTGGGGTCATCGGGTGGGAACCTCCTTTCACCGGTGTTTCGTCTAGTTGGTCCCACGACACCTCCAGGAGGCTAGACAGTGATCTCTGGCGTCCCAGAGACACTCCCCTAATGCCAGGTCTCACTGCTCCCCACACTAACCGAACAACCTCCTTTACCTTTCCTATACTACCACAGAGGAGGTAGACCCAGGGAAGGAAGCCTTGTTAGGCTGTCACACTCCCCCGCCGGGTTTGGCTGTACAGTCTACCTCCCCAAGACGAGCCCTCACAACAATGACACCTCCAGGAGACTAGACAGTGATCTCAGCCCAAACAGCACTGCCACCTTCAACCAAACCCAGGCTCCGTTTATGCGAGCTCCAGGCAGAAGCAATGCTGATACTACCTTTACTAGCACATTCACCATACTCTATTTCACACGCTACATAGCATAACTGCAATGTAAGCTAAAGTTAAAGGAGATAAATGAACTCACAGGATCAGCAAACACACTCACTTTGCAGCATGGTCTCAAACAAAATGGATTCAAATAGACCACTCCCACACTTAAATAACCTTCCTCTTCCTGGATTTCCTCCTCCTTACACATGGCTTTCTCAGCCCAAACAGCACTGCCATCTTCAACCAAACCCAGAACTGCATTTATTGTAAATACATGTGCATTTCTCTGACATTGTAACTTTCATAGTTATATCTTTTTGTTATTGGTTATCGTAATGAGTATTTTGTTCACTTAAGCAATTCCCATTCCTGTCTATTTCATAGGTCATGTGCTGCAATCCGTCATTACAGCTTCTGACAACTGTCAGTGAGCTTTCAACTGCCTATCAATGAGTTGTCATCTGTCTGCAGCTCAGCCAATGTGCCTATTTTCCACTGTACAGAGGACTGTGGGTCAGAATAGCCATAAAAAGCATGCTGGCCTGCAAAGTGCAAAATATGATCAGATGCAGTAGGACATCCTGGCATACTGCATTTGACATATATGTACACAAAAGTGCACATTAGGCAGCACTGATATGAGATATTCTAACCTGCAGATAGTGAACAAGAAGAGCCCGGAAATAGCCGCTCCCAGCAAACAAGACATTACGATGGGCCTTGAAGACACGGCCTTCGACGAGGATGCTGCAGTCACAGAAGAAGTCCCGCTTACGCTGCTCATTGAGCTCAAACAGGAGTTTGGGCATGTAGCAAGGCACTTCCATGTCTACACCTCGGTGAGCCCTGCCAGGGAGAGGAAAGAGAGAGACAGTCAGTTCAGTGAGTGTCAATTTAAAGGGGGAAACAGCAAAATGATAAAGATGAACTTTTTGGTTGTGTAGTGTCAAGACATTTGATTTAAAATGTACTACATATTCAATGATCTTTTGTGACACTTGACTTTTGAATTTGTCTGTTTAGAAGACAATTCTCCACTGACTTAAGAGTACACCAATGTAATTATTACAGTGTTAAGTCAAAGTGGGTGTAAGGGGAAGTGGGAAACCCCCATCAGCAACTTCACTTGATAAGCTACTAGTCACTGGGTGTGTGTACAGTTTTATTCACTGCGTTTAGGCGACGTTTAATACCTTAAAAGACAACTAGTCTTAAACACATAAATATTAAACCAGACACACGTTTGACAGAGGAAATAAAAAGAGAAGAGAACAGTTAGATAGCTCTAACGTCACTTTATGTTTGCCTACAAGCTAACTTGTGTTGCTAGCGCCGACTAGCCAACTGGTGATACTTTATCAAACAAAACGGAAGCATTACGACACAGACTGAACTTTACGAAGCTTAGTGATACACACGTAAAATAAAATGACATATAATACGGTCTCACCTGTATAATTACGCGACTGGAAGTGGGAAAACCCGTCTCATAACACAAAGACAGAGATTAGCAGCGTTTATTGTTCCGTGTCCACATAACTACTTCCGCTGTCAGATTTAGTGACGTTTCCAATGAACCAATCAGTGACCGACGATGGAGTGACGTTGCAGCTACAGCTCCAGCATTTACTGTGAGCCTAAATGTGGGTTTACTTGAAAAATAGCTTATTAGAAGGGATAGAAATTGATTTGTAAACCCAGCAAACATTGGTAAAGGTACAATTAGACAGACAAACTTATAAGATTAAATTAATTTGAATGTATGTTCTTTGTATAGTGTAATATGACAATGGGACTCTCAGGAATATCAGAATTATCAAGTGGTGAGATCAAATGCTTTTGCACAACATGCAGATTTCATGTGTAAATTGAATAGTTTAAACTGACTTATAACACCGTGCTTTTATAGGTTATTATAGTAATTAATTGAGTTTTCAACAAAAATATTTTTTAGGATTATTTAAGTTTTTAAATCTGTATATTATCGACTTGTCTGTACTCTTTGAGATCATGGTATAACCTTGCTACATGGCAGTACTGATTGTACACCAGCTTGTTTGATAGAGCTCTTTCTCTTCATGTGTTCAATGTTAAATAAACATCACAGTGTCAGCCTGCATTTGCTGTGGAAGCTTTAGTGTGGTTAGTCTTGTCTCGCGCTATGGATGCTCTTGTGTCCTGGGGTGGCTGTAGCTCAGTTGATAGTCGCAAGACACTGCATCACATACTGGATCTGAGACATTATGTTCCACTCAGCTGTGATCAATAAAAAAAAATGACCGTCTCTAAAAAAAGGGATAGAAATGTACAACTTTATTCCCCAAAAACCTTCAGTTGACTCCCATACTGACAGGTCTCCAGCAGGAGTTAACAAAAAATGAAAGTTGCATCACATAGACAGGTCAGTTTGTTTATTTGACAAGAGAGTAAAGATCCAGTGTGTAAGATTTAGGGGGATTTAGTTGCATCTAGCAGTGAGGATTGCAGATTGCAACCAGGTGAAACTTCACCAGGTTAGATTTTCTTTAGTGTTCATAGCTTGGGAAGTTTTAATTTCTCTTTATGTTTGTCTTACCTGAATTTTTCTTCCCATTCAGACCAAAACATTTCATCATTGAGCAGTTAACAATATACATGTGTCTTAACCCCCCTTTGATAAATGGTTTTTGACAACTGAATATTTTCTCTTCTTCAACTTCTAAGAAGCCTGGGTTATGTCTTGCCTATTTCCATTGCATAAATTAATTGATAGTGATCATGACGATGATGAGGGTGATGATGTTGTGTGGAGGAACCTCATCGCGTCACCCTCCCTCTCATACCAGGCCCAGCATGCGGCTGCACGGCCGCAGGCGGCTCGCGCCTGCCCACATTGTCTGCTCAAGAATACTTGTTTATTTGCTTTCCATTTCGGAGAGAAAATAATTCCTTTTTTTATTTTCAGACACGGCAGAGGGTAAACAAGTAGTTCCTTCAGCACTGCGCCACACCCTCTCAGCACAATCCACAGCTCTTAGATGTGTTTTTTTACACTGATGGGTGCCGACTGAGCAACTTATTTGTTTCAGATATTTTCCCATGGCAAACAGGGCGAATACAAAGGCTTCGTGGTGGCCTGGAGAAACCACAGGGTAGGCGTACATGAGCCTCCATACTCACCCTCTTTTGAAAATGAAATTTATGGCACCTCATAAAAGTTCTATTCACGCTTATACGCACTAAATATAAACTGGTATAAAGCAGCAGGGTTTGACTCAGTCCTTGTAAACTTGACCTGATGGAGCATTGTGTCCGGCTGAAGGCAGGACAGCCGTCGGTTGACCCAGCTGCCCAGCCCTAACGCGGGTCTATCCCAGAGCAAAGCTGAATCGGGTTGAACTTTGAGGTAGCTGACCTTCTTCTCGCTCTGACTCAGGGAAACACAAAGCCTTTGTTTTGGTCATTTGTTGACATATGGGCAGGAAACTCCCTCTCCACAGAACTTTCACAGCCAAGTAGTCACACTGGAGTTTCTACAATACCGTCCTATCTGTGTGGCAGTTGAATGCTGGTTTACACCCATCAACCCCTTAGGAACAAATAATATTCATGATTTATGACTGGGTTTTGCCTGTGATTATGATGCCACATGATTTACAGATCTAAGCTCAGTCTAAAAAGTAAATAGATGTAGAGATGACTGTTATGTAAGGCTGCATCCAGATTTGGGACCTCACTCATTGTGTGTGTTAGCCACTGTGAGACCCACGGCTGGCACCGAGGGCTCCAGCAGCACCCCTCTGGGTCCCTGTGGTCTGCGCCTCAGCACATAACAGCCACTTAGGCCGGCATTTTCCCAGGCTGAGACAACACACCACGGTGGCAGCGCGAGCCACAGAGAGAGCCTGATTAAAGAGTAGGGACAATGGAGGGAGAGAGACCGTGGTGGCATTTTCCATCTCCGCCGCTGTCTCCTGGGGGGACCGAGTATGTGCCGTGAAACGTTTGAATTATCCCAGAATCTCTGGAATTCAGACAGAGGCACCGCGGAGAGGACCCTCGACCGGGGATCAAAGAGCTTTGAGAGGAGTGCGGTGGACTGGTGGTGAAGTCGAGTACATAGGGGAGTATGAGTGTGTGGATGTGTGTGTGTGCGCGTGCTTGTGTGTTTCGGAGAACTGACTGAAAAGATAAAGACGATGTTTGAATTTGAATCATATTTTCTTTTATGGCTACATGTCTTAAGATGTTTTCAAAAAAAGCCATGTTCGACTTCTGAGGAGGCAGTAATCATTGAGCAATGAAATACAGGCATGTGGTGTGTGTGTGTGTGTTGCTGTCCTTTTATCCCTCATGGGATCAGATAATGCAATCACAGCCAATCATTGAGAGTCTAATACAGTGGGCGCCCCTCTTTAGTTTGGAGACGCCACTCTCCTCTGTGGTGGCAGAGGAAGAGGAAGAGAAAAGCGAGAGGGGGAAACCTCGTCCTTCTCTTTTTGTCTATCTCTCTCTGTAATTATCACTTAATGTTCTTCGGTGATCTGGAGACGTCTGTCTCTTGCTCAGTCCTTTCTTCCCTTGCTGGAGAGGAAATGTATCACAGTCTGAAATAAATCTGCCAGCCTTTTTATTATTGTATATTTAGCACCAGAACAGAGTAGTAAATGGAGCCGTCCCAGACCACGAGCTTCCGGTAGCACAGAGCCTCAGCGCTGGCTGGCTGTCTTTGCCACAGCCAAGTCCAAAGATCAAAGCCTCCTGTACTATATACAGTTAGCTAGTCGTCCTCAAGCATGGACCTCAAGCAAGTCTTGTCTGAGAAAGACAGCATGTGTTTGTGCATGAGCCACATGCAGAGTGAATAGAATTAGTTCACTGCGCAAGTATGCTTTTCAGCAAGGCAGTTTTGCACCGACATCTGCTGTGTGTACTTAACTGTGTGTGTGTGTGTGTCTGTCTGTCTGCATCCATATATCTCTGTGCTATAAGTGCTGTGTCGTTGTATTGTCATGTGTTTGTTTGATGTCAAAAATGTCAGCATTTGTGTTCACATAAAAACAAAATGTGGAAAGTGGAGGCCTGGGAAGTTGTCTCATGGCAGTCAACCAGATGCCTCAACGAGAGCATCAGATAGGCCTGTGATCTGATATATTTGTGATTCCCAAGCACAAGAGCAAAGGTTTCATTGCAATATTGAAGGGGTGGGGGGGGGGGGGGGCACATATAAAATGGTGCATTCTGCCAGAGCGCCAAACACTTGATTTTTTTATGCACCAATCTGCGTCAATTTATGGTGTAACTGTCTTTAATCATGCCAATGTGAACTAAATGTGTGATTTGATTTCTAAGATACATCCACATATTTGTGTTAAGGAGGGAAATAGGCAGCCAAAGAGGATTACGCACTGGTGTGGTGGTGATCTTTGGAAAATTTACGATAATCAAAGCTGCTCATTAAAGTCATTTGGGTGTGACTTCTGGAGCTTAAGCCCCAAATGTTTTTTCAAAAGCCCCGGATCGTTTGGGTTTTTAAAATACCTTCAACTTTGTGTCATTTCCCCTCGGTATCTCTGACTTCACCAGGAAATCAGTGGAGCTATACTTCTCTAGTAATGATGTTTATGCCAAATTCCTACCCTACCTACGTTCTGTGACTTAAAATAGTAACATCAGGCAATTTTTGCCCTTTTTGGGGGCAGGAGTGAAATTTCAGCACACTCAACATTTGTTTTGTTTTGGTTTCAGAATGATGAAGAACAATTAGATACACTAGTCCATACTCATTGGTAGCTTTGTCACCTTCTACCTATGCCAATCCTCAATGCCTATGTGCAGTTTCACACAG